GGTAGAGAGAGGCCTCTATAAAGGAAAACTGAGGGTCTTTATCCTAGCTGAACGCTCAGCCAGTGTGGCCATTCTGAACATTCCAGCCATGCTGGCACTCCAGCCAACACCAAGAAAAGCAGAAAAACCATCAGATTTGAGGGACATAATAAATTGGTTTAAGCTACTAAGTTTTGGGGTGGTTTGTTATACAGCCATATTTACTTTTTATACTGTTTCACTTATCTGTCAGCTATATATATATATTTTTTTATTTATTTTGCCAGAGTGTGTGCTTTTGCTGGAGAGAGACAGAATGAAAGTGAGAAAACAACCCCCACGGAAGACAGTTGCATCACAACCCCTTCTTCAACATTTTCCCCTCCTTTAGGAATTGTGGCACACAGGAACACGTGCCCAGCATGTTTTTCAAGCTGCAGGCCTGGGACTCAAACCACATAGTAAGCCATGTAAGATTCAGCTGCCTTTACTCTGTGTCACTGGCTGGCCCCTATGAAAAGTTTTCATAGGCAAAGTCTTCAAGAAATTCAAATATGGGGTCAGCAGGTGAGGTGGTGGTTAAAGTGCTGGATTCCCACCTGGTCAACTGTGGTTCAAATCTCTGACCTGGCGACTTGCTTTCTCACTTTCTTTCTCCTTCTCTCTAGTGAGTGCACATATCCTGTAGCAGATTTAAAAATAATGATGATGATAAATAAAATTAAATAAGGCTGGCAGGTGGCATAGCGGTTAAGGGTGCCAGACTCCCACATGGCCAACCATGGTTCAAGTTCCGGACCTGGCAGCTTGCTTTCCTTTTCTCTCTCTGTACCTCTCTGGTCAAATTAAGACATAAATAAAAGAAAGAATTTAAAATAATAATAATTCTTTCCCCCAAAAAAATAGTTCCAGTATGGCTCAGCCTGGTGGTGCAGTTGGTAGCAAACTGAACTGCGGTGTCAGAAGTCACTTGGTTTACAGCAGGTTCAGGTCAGGAGCCAATTGAAATCACACTGAGTATGTGCACAGGACTCTGACAAGCTAGAAGGCTTGGGGAAAGGAGATTTCGCCGTGACAAGATCCTGTGCTGCTCTCTCTCCCCCAACCACACGCACTGTCTATAAGAAATAATCTTTCTGGGACCAGCAATTGGCCTAATGGCTATGTTGCTGGACTCCCATGTCGTCAACCGCAGTTGGAGCCTCAGACCCAGTGGCTTAACTTATGCAGGGCGCATGTGCGTGCGTGCCCAAGATCCTGAGAGGAGAATGGAGGAGAAGGGATTGCAGCATGGCCATTCCCCTGAGGGGGGTGTGTGTGATTTCTTGCTTTCTGTCTGTCTCTATCTTTCTGGTGAGTGCATGTGCCCCATAGCAAACACCTCTCCAAAAAGAAGAAAAAAAAAAAAAAACTTTCTAAAAAGTTCATGGAAAATATATATTGTGAAAAAAATCTATGTATGGATGTCAAAATTTCTGCCCCCAAACAAACTCATACTTTAATTTCATTTTTCCACAAACCCTTTGAAGTCCTCTCATATGTCCTAAAATTATTTCATACAAGTTTCAAGTGTTTCCCTTGGGATTCTGGGATTGGGTGGACAAGAATATATTTATCCTGTCCATTTTTAAAAATAAACTTCAGGGTAAGCCCAGCAACACAGCTGTAACACAATGTTCTGGGATGCAGGACACACACAGGAAGGTCCCTGGTTTGCACATGCAGATCTCTCTGTACATGCTGGGACACACATGTACACATCATGATCTAAGCTGACTAAGACTGGGGGTAAAATGTAGGATGAAGAACCAGGTGAGTATGCCTGTCTCTCTCTCTAACAAATAAACCATTAGGGACCAGCAGATGGCGCAGTGGTTAGGAGGCTGGACTCCCACATGGCTGACCACAGTTCGAGTCTCAGACCAAGTGGCTTGCTTTCTCACCTTCTCTCTCTCTCTCTCTCTCTCTCTCTCTCTCTCTGAGTACATGTGCCCTATATATAGCAAATTTTTTAAAATAATAATAAAATAATAGCATAATGGTTATTTCACTGGACTACCATGTGGTCAACCGCAGTTCAAGTCCCAGACCCAGTGGCTTAAACTCACATGTGTGTGCGTGCCCAAGATCCTGAGAGGAGAATGAAGAAGAAGGGATTGCAGCATGGCCATCCCCCCTGGAGGGTGATTTCTCACTTTCTGTCTCTCTGTCTCTCTTTTTGGCGAGCACACATGCCCTATACCAAAAACTCTAAAAAAAAAAAAAAAAAGAATTATTTTACTTAACTTTATTTATTTACTTTAATTTGACCAGAGCAGGACAGAGAGGTGTGGGTGGGAGAGTGAGAAAGCAGGCGGCCAGATCCGGGACTCGAACCTCAGTCAGCCATGTGTAAGTCCAGCATCCTTAATCACCACACCACCTGCAGGACCTGAAATTTTACATTTTCTTAAACTGTGGAAATCAGAGCAACTCTACAAAATTTGTCATTAGCAATTCACACCTGAGTGAAGATTTAGTCAGGTGTTATGACTGGCTAAATACCAAAGAAAATTTTTAATTTGATAAAAATTATAGCCTTCAATGTACACTGAACATTAACTGATGCAAGCTTAAAAAAAAAACACCTTCCTATCTCAAAATTGACGGAATAAATGGACATGTTAGAGCAGGGTAAATGGGACCAAAGGGGAGTTGTGACTTACTCAGATTCATAGTAAGTCTGTTACCGAGCTGAGAGAGAAAATCAAATCACAGAACTCTCCCTTCTCTCTCTTCTTATGAAGGTATCATTCCTGGCGACCCTCTTCTAGTTGGCCTTTGCTCAAACAGCAGCCAAAACAGCAGGCAAGGTCAAAAATGAAAGTAACTAAAATGAAAGAAAAATACTGACTTCTCCCTACAGAAACAGATTCAACACTGAATAAGGTGTGGTGCCCCCAAAGCTACAAACTACTCCCAGGTCATGTCCAGGTCCACTTTAACTCAGTCAGGCCACTATCAAAACATAACTCACTGGTATGATAAACAGCAGAGATCAAGCAGTTGAGAATATTCCTAGGCTGAGGTCTAGCGGAGAGTAGAAAGGATGATCTCATAATGTCCTTTATGATCTGTAAATCACATTATTCCATAAATCTGACACAGTGTCAGGATTAGGATTCAGAGTCAACCCTCTAAGTAGGAAAACAAAAATCAACAGCTGCTACTTTCCTAAGTTAAATCTAGAAGCGGCCTATAGAAATAAAGCAACGTTCACTTTTTTCTGAAGTCCAAAAAAGTCAAGGTCTCTTCTTACTATTTTAGCATTGCAATATTGGGCAGAAACTCAAGAACCCACTTCAGGCTCAATGGAATTTTAATGATGCACTTGAATTTTAGGTGTTTTTTTGAAAATATTAATAAAAAATAAATAAAGTTACAGTAAATTTGACCAGTCTCTGAAAAAGTAGTCTTGTAAATGGGGCAATTGAAAAGCCTAAATCCAATTTGGTTAGTTTAGTATCCACATTTATTTAGATCCATTATGGTATTTTAAGCAAAGACACAAAATAACTACTTAAAAAAAAAAAAAAAAAA